GAAGTCAGCTTCTGACCATCCTCAGTTTTTTTATTGGCTTCTCCAGCCATCTCCAAAAGACAATAAATGGAAGGTGCAGCTCTTAAAATTAGAGGTCAATTAGATACTTAACGATGAAGCAAATCTTCAAATATATATCTATTATTATTATGCTAGCAAAAAATTAATTAACTAGGTCAAGCAGGCCATGAAGGCTAATGTACAAAGTAATTATTTCTGATCTTTAGACCAGTACTTCACATAAAAAGGTAGTCCTTTATTCTGCTCAGCAGATACCTGAAATGCCTGTAGTTAATCATATTGAAGGAAACAAAAGGTAAGGTTTATCTCCTTAAAAAGTGAGAGGACATCTCAAGTTATTCTGTTTAATTGTTTAATTGTAAATATTAGCATCTTTCTGATTACCGAAAAGGAAGAAAGGATAACACACATTTAATGATGCTCTACCACATGGCAAACACACAGACACACAAAATATATCAATAGCACAGAGGAATATATTATAATCAAGATAAAAAACTCTGCATATGAAAGATAATCATATATGCTTAAGAACAGTGAAACTTCAATGAAGCAATTAACACTGGTTTGAGTAAAAGAAAATAAGCAATATGTATTTCAGCATTTAAAATAAAAAGTTTTCAGATAAGACAAAGAATATTTCCAAAGATGCAGCAATGGCATTTAGTTCAGGCTTTCTACAGATAGCTTGCCATCTAATGTGCATGTAAAATGATGAGGGGAGGGCAATGAATATTGCATAACAATCATAAAGAAAATAAAGCACTAAAAATTTCAAGTCTCACAATTATACCCAAAAAAGACATATGTGTAAGAATTGACTAAATCATTGGCCCTTGCCCAGAGAGCCAAATGCCCAAATAAAACCCCACCCAGCCAGTCCATTCTTAAGAGATTGTTGTTCAGTTCTGAGGAGAGGACATTGCTTATATAGCTCACAATAAAAGCCACTTGAATAACTCTAAAACTGGAGTCTGAAGAGACATGAATAATTGGATAATACTATTCATCCTTGTAAAAGGAAGTTTCTCACAGAGATATTATAATGAGCTGAATTCTTTTGCAGACTCAGTTCTAGCTGCAAAATTCCATCGTTAAATGTGTTCCTATTGACTCGCTATAGAAACCAAAGAATGTGGTATACATATTCTCCAGATTCAAAACCATGGTATGGTCAAATGAGGTTAGATGAATAAATATATGAAAAAAATCAAGAAATGAGGATTTATAAAATATTTTTTTTGTTTTGCCTAGAGTTGTCTTATATTGAATCATTGATTAAACAACTGTCAAATTAATTAAAAGTGAATTTTGTTAGGATAACTCAGAAGTAAAATGCTTCAAAATATTAGCTAAGATACTACAGTTCAATGAGTGGGAGATGGAGGATGAAATTACTGAAGCAGTTATCTTTCTTTGGAATTTCAGCCTAAGAATCAACATTGCCAATTCCAAAGATCCATATTTCATGACCTATTAGTTTTGCTTTCCATAGACTTGGTTTAAAAAAAATAATGTTTTTGTTCTGGAAATAGCAAAAATACGTATTTTTTTTCTGGGCTCTATATCAGGAGAATTACTTAATATGTAAAAAATTAGAGAAATCACCATTTTTCCCAAAGCACAGAGGGATTTGAATTTACAAAGCAAACATTCTCATAAAAGACCTAATATTCAGGTGACATTTTAATAGCCATTCTTAATTATCCTGATTTATTAAAAGGTAAAAGTGGACTCATCAAAACTATAAAAACAATTCACAAATTCATTCATCATACTTTTCTAACACGGCTTACACGACTTTAGAAGAATCTATTTAAAAGTTTAGCTCAAATTTATGAAGGCAAAATATGTTAAAAATATATTCAAGAAAAAATATATTCAAGAAACAAATACAAATTGTTCTTAACTGGACATATAAGTTCTGAATAATTGCAAATTAAAAAAACGTGAAATTTTATAATAGTATCTTAATCATGCCTTTTCCTACTTCTAATGAAAAATCCTGTTTTTCAATTTATGGAAACCATTCACGTTTTCATTTGTTTCCATTATAATAGACCCAGATGTGTTGGTGTGGGGTTGTTACAAGAGATTAGGCACTCTTCCCTTTATTTCTATTAAAGCTTGCAAATTGGGGTGAAAAAACAGTACTGATTTAGAAGTCAGCATTCTGAACTACAGGAATGATTTCAAATGCAACCACATCATACTGATGACCCATAGCCAATTGCCATGATTTAATCTTGCTGACCATATTAGCTAATAGGTTCTAGGACTCAAGATACAAAAAGAAAAAAAGTGTCAAACTTGCTCAAATTGTCTCTATATTCATCATTTGCTTTTGAAAGAGAAGTTAGGTTTTATTTTTAATAACTTCAATCTTTATCTTTAATAATCTTGTTTAATCCTTTGTTCTGTTTTGTGTTAAAATGGGAGAGTGTTTCTTTTCTTGATAGAAAAAAATGTTTGAAGCATCCCTTAAGTATCATATTTTGCTCAAAAAGCATTTACAATTAACCCAACAATAATCTCTTTCCTAAATTTGATCAAATTTCGAAACCCGTTCCCCTTCCTCCCAAAAAAAAAAATGGAAGTCTGAATATCAAATACCTGTTTTGTGTCAGAGATGAATACATGTTGTGTAAGGAGTACATGATTTTCAGCATTTGAAAAATTCTTTGAATAGTCTCATATGTAGACGGTAAATACTGGCAAGACATGCCATGAAGCAATAGCTCAGGATAGTATGAACTATCAATACAGGTCTCATTGCGTTCTCTTATTTTTTTTTTTTTTAAATTAATTCTTATTACAAACAATTTTATATTTCTAAAGTGAATGTAACTCTGACATTGAATATTTTTATTTTATAATTTATACTGCTAAGTTCAAGTGCTGATTAGTTTAAATTTAAAAAATTTAAATGAGAAATATCCACAAATTTTTAAAAGCAATTAAACTTCTATTAGAAAACTTGAAAAAAATTACTCCTATCTTCTCAAATTGATGTTTCCAAATGTTCATTCCAATGGTTTTAAGATCATGTTCTACAGTTTTCTGAAACATATGTAGTCAATCTTTAACTATAAAATCATATATAAGCAATACATACTAAAAATATTTCATGAAAATATTCTAAACTGATTTGGCTGCTATTCACCTGAAGTTCTCAGTGCCACAGGAAAACATCAGTGAAGATAACCAGTCAGTACAAACAGCACTGTACTGAGAAGTAAAATATATTAGAAAAGAATAAACAAGTAAGTTATAAAGCAGTAGTAAAAACAATAATTAACTGATACAGGAACACCTCAGGGAACTTCCTCCATTTCTGCTTTACAAATAGGAGAAACAGAGAGAACTAAATGGTCATGTTATTTAACACCTACTGAGTTCTTACAGAGGGGGATCTACAGAAAAATGTAGGAAGCCACAGGCTAAAAATCTTGACCTGAGCAGTAGGAGATACACTGAAAATTCTAATAAGAGCAGAGCAAGAGAACACCTGGACAGTTATTTAATTAAGCATCTCAGCATGAGCCATAAAGGAGATATCAGGATGAGAAACTATTCTAAGATGTAATTGTAAAGGCTGACTGTCAAAAACGCTAAAGACATTCCAACTCATCTATATTTGGACTTTTTATTTTGCAACATGTATACTTGAATATGGAATACTGAATAGGACAAAAACCAACAAAAAAGTTGGCCAAGACTTCCTACTGAAAATAGCTGGACAAAAATGCCAATTAAGTAAAGGAACTGCTTCCGATACCAAATTAGTATTTTAAGTGCAGTAGCTACCTGGAACACTAAGTATAATAAACAAAAATGAAGCAAGGATCGAAGGTAAAATCATTGTTATTCATCAATGAGGTAGAATATTGCAGTAAACTATGACTTCATGCTACTGATATTTTAAAAAACTATGGGAGGGCATGATATTAACCTCAAGAAAAAGTAATAATATAATTCAGAATATGCTGGCCCAACTAGTTTGAATCATAGATTCCAGCAGATTCTCTAATAACCAAAGGAAACAAGAGTCTGTGGTAGGATACGGATAACTCTGTGAATAGTATTTCTGAGAATTAATCACCAGACAGCCAGTTCCTTATTCCAGGGCTTTCTAGAATTCACACACCTATATTCCTATTTGGAAATGGAGATCATTTTCCTTGCCTATCTCAAATAGCTGTTCATTGAATTAACTATCAAGTATCTAAAAGAAAGACAGAAATCAGACCATCACCTTTCTTCCCCAGACCACTGTAATTATGATCTATATATTTGTACATTGCCATAAGAAAAAGGAATTTCTACACAATGTAGAAAATCCCTTTTTCTTATGGCAATGTAAAAAGCGAATAATAATTCATAATTACTCAGGAACAAGTTTTTCTTCCTTTATATACTGTAAGCTCCTTGAAGACAAACTATAACTCATTAATCTCTCTATTCCCGTCAGCATCTAGAAGGAATGCGGTTAATATTTGCTATATTAATAGCCTTTCTCCAGATTTTTAACAGTCTTTTTCCAAATTATTAACAGCCTTTTTCCATATTTTTTTCAAAATTGGTCCAATTAGTCCTAACAAGTAAATTAAAAGTAAGTTTCTCTCTACAGTACCATTACATGGTAAAATATAAAACAGAAAGTGGTCAGTGGTAATAAAAATAGCATTTGTATACTACCTGGGAAACCATTAGGTTCCCACTAGGTAGTGTTATGCAAATGGAAACAAGAAAAAAGATAAGGGTTATTTTGCTTACACATCACATCAGAGAAGAATGCTTAGACCAACACCTAGTCCACTATTTCTTACATTCACTTATAGAATTGTGTACAACATCCTTGAAAACAGCCCTATTTGTGCTGTTTATAAGACAGGGGTACATCTGCAGAGTTTTACATTTCATTTTCAAGGAGGAAAGTATCTAAGTATAATCAGATGAGAGTAATAAAATACACTGACCTGGATCTGTTGCTGCAGGAGATTAATTTTGTGCTGCTGTTGCAGAAGTTGCTGCTGTTGTCTTGCAATCTATCAGAAATAAAGTTTCATTAAGTTAAAATGAAATGCTTACACCTCTGCCATTACCTCAGGTATTTCTCCTGGTATTACAGCAATGTTTTACTGCACCTCTATGTGAAAGAGTTCCTACAAAATGAGAGAGGTCAAATCAGAAAGATGGATGAAAGGAAGAATTTTTAAACAAGTGCTATCTCTCTGCTTTATCTGTAGGAAAACTACCCCTTCAATTACATTTGTGAGCTATTCACCTATATCTGCACAGGTCAGCCAGAAATCATGGGAATTTAGAAATTTAATCCTTGCAGAATATAGATAGACAATCTCTGGCTACATTTTTCTAAATGGCTTAATTTGGATGTAAAAAGTAAAATCTGTAAGCAAAGACAGGAAAAAGCTTTCTATTACTGTTTAATATGGTCTATGTTAGCAAACCCTTTCCTTATACAAAGACTTTCAAAACTGATACATTTACAAATACTGTCAAAGGAGTGCCAAAGAACACAGCAAAAAGTAAAATATCTTTAGCTTTTGTTGTTGTTGTTGACGATGCTGTATGTGATGTACAAAATATTTTTAAAAACAAATTAAGCTATAATTTAACATTTACCCATTTATCCTTTTGAGGACAATGTTTTTATATTACAATACAGGATCCATATACAAGTTTTATATTTCCTTGTTTCATCCAACAATCAAATGAAACATCTAAACAAATTATCTGCTCTATAAAAAGAAATGTTAACCATTTAATGCAAGCCCTCCTGATGACCGACTCTAGCTCTCAGGCGGTCAAACAGCTTCCTTCGGATAACAGTGTTTACTGTGAAGTATGAGTCAGGCATCAGGCTGCTTACTGACTCAAAAGCTGAGATGCTACAGTTTGAAGTCCAGAGAGATGATCCTTAGTGAGAACAGACTCACTGCCATCCTAGGAAGCCAGAGAGAAAAGCAGACAGAGAGTATTTAGAAGGACTTCGTTTCAGTGGTGACTTTTTGTCAAAAGTGTCTTTTTCCCCTAGTTCTTCCTACTTCCAAAAGCCAGTATTCTAGAATGCATTATGTTGGAAGTGAAAATGAGTGTAGATCAGTTCCCAGCTATATACTTCCCAAGCCTTTTTGATGTTCTAGCTTATGCAGGGGCTGGGGAGGGAGTGCCCAAATTATATTTTATTCAGCACACTGATGACAACATAGAAGTCTGCTTCCAAATCTTGCTTTGTGATTTCTGATGACAACTGGTTCATACTGGAAGCCATGATAAAGTTACACCTAATGTAGACTACAGTGTGAGAAATGGGGACTACTCTTTCCCAGAGCTTTATATTTAAAATGGAAATAGTTAATCAGGTTTGAATGGCCCACTCTGCTTGTGGATATTCAAATCAGAAATGTACAACTCACTCTGCAGCTCTAGGTATAGATGCTGAATCCTCTGAATATTTATTTCCTCTTAGCAAACCAGTGAAACAACACTAGGCATCTAATATTGATGGTCCCTCCTAAATGATAAAGTGCTGCATAGAAATGCATCCAAAACACCACAGTGCAATTACTATCATCCACTCTAGACGTATGGGTTTGACACAGTGAAGTATGGTACATAAGCACCATGTGGCTCAAATTCTGAATTTTATTTGCCAATCGGTTGAGCTACATGCTCGCTTCATTGAGCATGACAACCTAGTTTTAAGTGTCATTTAATTTTCATTTTGAAATATAATTACAAAGTGTTCACTGTAAGATATCACTCGTCTGCAAATGTGTCAAGATTAATTTGTGCTAGCTTATTCACAAGTGTCAATAGTTAATTACTGTGTCATCTCTGGATGGCTAAATGACATTCTAACTTCTGATTTTTTACAGTGTTCCTTTATGTTATTTTCCATTAGGGGCTGAGTCCATATTCCTACATGTGGGCAAATATTCAAGCATATAAAATACCAGACATCACAACTCATTAAAATCAACAGAGCATATATTGCTCTATATACTCCTATAAAATAGATTTAACTGAAAAGATAATTCCAGTAATAATGTCAGATTCCTAAAAACTGCACATTAATTTGGATATGTCTAACCTAAAGCATCAGGTACTACTCTATAGGATCATTGTTAGATTAATGTACTCTTAGGAGACAAGAAAAAACATTTGGGAAAGTGATTTATTTTTAAAAGATAAACATTTAAATTTTGCTATTTTTCCTTCATTCTCACTTCTAAGTCAATCAAGTCACATACTTTTAGGAACTGTATACTAACTTGTATTCAATGACTTACCTATGCTATAAATAGTGACCGTAAGATATATCATACAAACCAAGACAACTTTCACAAGTAGAAGGAGGCAGCGTATTATTACTCTAGAAAACAGGTACTAACCAGGGCTATATGGGGAAAACTGAAATGTATGGTCACCTCATTGGACTTTAAACCTGAAGAAAATCATTGGACCGATGAGCTTAAAGATTCCCAAAGTTTTTTCTGGAACAGAATCCCCTTCTTCTGGATGAGGAAAATAAGGCCCTTAGAAAAGTCACTTATGGTGAAGGCACAGAGGGATTATATGTGATGTCTATCTGAGTACGTATACCTGAGTCATTAATCAAATCCAAACCTGAAACAATGTATCATTTTAGTTATGCCCAGTTGCTATGATGCCTTTCTTCCTCCACATATTCCCTCGGTTTCTTGAAGACCCTGGATTTCCAGAAGGCTTCTTTGGTTGTTGTTGTTATTGTTTCCTTATTTTCTTCTTATTTTTTATTTTTATTTTTTAGGAATGCTTACAACAAATAAGCCAATCAATGTGATTACTCTCTGAGCCTGGCACATTCCACATCTCCAGTTCCTCAGCGCCTTTTGCAGGGCTCACCTGTTCCTGCTGTTGGCGAGCAAGGTCCATTTGCTGCCGTTGTTTCTCAATTTGTGAGGCTGCCAGTTTTTTCTGTTCATCATGTGCTGCCAGAAGCTGCTCCCGTAAACTGATCAGCTGGGTAATCATGGTGGAGAGCTGCCGTTCTTTTTCTGCCAGGCTCTCAGGTGTACCTAAAATGGAAGCGAGAAGAGATCTCACAAGCTTGAGAAATACCTGGACGAATCAGAGAAAGAAGAGCAGAATTTAGAAAGGCACTGTCCTAAGTCATTTAAAGATCTGGGACAATGACTGGAGGCCGTTGTGGGTGTAGAAACACCACAGAGTAATTACAGCAGTGGAGTGAATGCTAGGTTCCTCACTGTTGCTGCCAAGAAGAAGTATTGTCACTAGCAAAATTCTCACTCACTCTCCTCTCTTGATCTAAAAAAAAGCAGACCTACCCCATTCTTACCTTTTTGCCCCCAGTCTATCTGATCAAGCTAGGAAATCCATGATATTTAATACAAAAGATCAGAAACTATAGATTATATTAATATTCTATAATCACCTCTAAGTTCAGTGACTAACAGTACCGAAGACATAGTAGATGCTGAATTAAAGTTACTTGAGGAAGTTTCTGATCCTTGCCCTCACAAAAGTTTCTATTGTACAAATATCTGTCATTGAAGTGACAAGAGATTGAAGGAATCAATCTCTTGGCCATAGAGAAAATTCTACAGAGAGAATTAAAACTGCCTCCAGTGAGAAAAAAAATTGAATGTGATTCTTTCTTTTCCTGAGAAAGGATCAAGCTGAAATTCCTAAGTTCATTGGTAAAGGCAACAGTGTTGCTTGGGGGACTCCATCACCCCTTTGTCATTTGTCATTCTTCAAAGGGAAAAAACACATTCAAGGTTGAAAAGGTTATGCATAAGGATATCCTGTTTAATGAATATGATGTCGCTGAACACTTATGGTATGCACTAATGGTGCTGAACAGTTTTTTATGGGCAAATTGCACAGCTCTCCTAAGTAAAGGGTACAGAATCCTTTTGTGAATCTAAATTAGAGCATTTTACAGCAGCATAAGATAAGAATTTCAACCCACTGCATCTGAGCCACACGGATTTCATTATGAAGAAATGATCTGTGATTTGAAAGCTTTTCAGAAAAATGCCACCAGCTGTCAAAGGGGACAAAGATTGCCAATTTTTGTGTGTGCAGAAGGAGAGACTTCTAACCTCCTTATGAAACCCCCTCATTCCTACTAAGAAAGCACCAGTACGATCTGAGAAAATATTTTAATTATCAGTGGCCTTATTTTTCAAGTGGCCCAAAGGAGAAAGAGAAGCTTCAGAGGATGCAGGCTAGCTGTTGTTAGTATATGATTTCTGAAGGGTAATACTGACGTCAACAGAGAAGCTACCACATTTAGGACTATCATGGGATTCTTAAGGTCAACTGGTATCCTTAAAAAATAAAAAGAAAGAAAGAAAGTTGTCAGTATCCCTTATATCCTTAGATTTACTGGGCTGAAAGATGGCCTAAAATCAAAATAAAAAGAAAAATAAAGTTGTTAGAAAGTGTATTTCACTGATAAGAGAACAAATACTGTATCAAGGCTAGTGACCAGCTACTCTTTCTAGATCCTGAAATTTGTTAAAAGAAAATAGGTTTTTACTTCAGCAATGGGAATTTCATCATGGTGAAAGGAAGAATTTCTTGGTACAGAATCTCTAAAATACAAAAGTAGGTTCCCAAAAAGAACTGTAAGATATCTTAAAAAGAACAAAAGTTTAACTAATGCATTTGTTAATATATACAGGAATGAGAAAATACAACTCAAGAATCAGATTTTTAAAATTTAAACATTGAATGAATTTTTAATTCAATACATATTTTCTGAATTGCAACTATGTGTCAGGTACTATATCAAGAACTAAGGACAGCCTGGCAAGTAAAAGCAGACATGGTCCCTACTCTTAGGCAGTTTGTAGTTCAAAACTTGAAGAGACAGGTCAGGCACCATGACTCATGCCTGTAATCCCAGCACTTTGGGAGGCCGAGGCAGGTGGATTGCCTGAGGTCAGGAGTTTGAGACTGGCTTGGCCAACATGGTGAGACCCTCTCTCTACTAAAACTACAAAAATTAGCTGGGGGGTAATGGTAGGTACCTGTAATCCCAGCTACTTGGGAGGCTGAGGCAGAAGAATCACTTGAACCCAGGAGGCAGAGAATGCAGTGAGCCAAGGCCACATCACTGCACTCCAGCCTGAGTGACAGTGTAAGACTCCATCTCAAAGAAAACAAAAAAGGAAGAAAAGAAAAAGAAATCGAAGAGACACCTTAATCAGGTAATCAAACATGTAAATTGTAAACTACAACTACATAGGGATTACAAATAAGACAAATGTTTTATGGGAGTTTAACCAAATTTGGGTGCCCAAGTTCAGGGAAAGTAACCTTAAAAGTCAACAAATTAACAGAAGGATGAATAGGAATTAACTAGGCAAACAGTTGAGAGTATGGTTTGAAGGAGCTTTCCAGAAAACATGAAACTGCAATGACAAAGAAACTACAACTGAAAAAAGGGTTGCAAGAGGGTGATTGGTGGTCAAGGAGTTTTTCCAAAGGAGAAAACACTATGGGCAAAGGTCGTGCGTGTGTGTGTGTGTGTGTGTGTGTGTGTGTGTGTGTGTTGGGGGTGGGGGCGGTTTGGTGTGTTCCAGATGTTGAAAGAAGTCAGTGAAACTTGAGCAAGGTAAATAAACAGAAATAGAGTATTAGATGAGGCTGGAGAGCTACTTAGAGGGCATACCATTCAGTCCCTTATACAGCATGTGTGATAATCTACATGTTTATTCTAAGAATGATTCCTAATCACTAAAGTGTTTTAAGAAAGGAGTGATATAGTCATTTTGGTTGCAGTGTGGTGAATAGATTGGAAAGATGAGATCAATGGGATGTATCCACATTTTATTATATATATTTTGTGCAATATACTTTTTTGTTATAGCTGTGTATATGATGTGAGTTAAGAGAAGGTTTATTGGATATGGTGATAGTTAAGGTAGTATAATTTTTTGTTAATAAAGAAGAGCTTACACAGGAAATTTTAGGCAAGGACCAATATAAGAGTTGGATCTAGTATTTGGATTCTCCAATAAAGACTGGAAAATTTTCTCTTCTTCCATCTTAAACAATCTTTTCAACAATCTTCAACATATTCCCCTTTCTCCTCTGCACAGGCAACAGAGAGGCTAAAGATGATACATAAATGACTTCTTAGCCTTTTCTGTTCACAGTGAAGCCAAAAGATTTATAAATGCATTGGTGCTTCCAGGGTTAATATACATATATCTGAATTTATAGAATAACACCATTTAACTAAAACTAATTGTAAACAGTCAGTGGCATCTAAAATTTTTTTTGGACTTAAAAGATATACATTTAAAGAGAAAATGCAGAAAGCAACATTTTTAAATTGAGAATTTAAACATTCATGTAAGGTTGTCACTATTTTTTTTTAAACTGGAGGAGTACATATAGTTGACCCCCGCTATCTATAAGGTTTCACATCCGCACATCTGCTGATTCAACCAACCACAGACTCAGCCAACCTCAAATTAAAAATGTTTTTTTTAATAGCAATACAATAAGCAAACAGGATAACAACTAGTCACACAGCATTTACATTGTATTAGGTGTGATAAGGAATCCAGAGACGACATGAAATATGTGGGAGGATGTGCATGAGTTATATGCAAATACCAGGACATATTACCTAAGGAACTTGAACATCCTCAGATTTTTCAATGAATATATTTTGAATAGTGGCATTAAAAATGAAGTTGGAATGAAGCATAGTAGTGTAACAAATCTGAAATCCCCCTGTATTGGGAATCATATATATAGCCATGTAGCCCTTGTGGCTTAAATTGGAAAAAAAAAATTTACACCATACAATAGCTTATATTCTAAATGTGCAGATCAGTTTGTGTTTGTGTGTGTGTGTGTGTGTGTGTGTGTGTGTGTGTGTGTGTGTGTGTGGCGGGCAGGGGATGCATTTTTCTGTTCTGTACCCACTGTATTTGTTCAGGTATAATGGTTTGAAGCCAAGCATTTAAGACCTATGATGCTGGAATTTTCTGTTTAATTAGCAGCATGTTTATGCCACTATAATAAGAATAACATCAAGTCTAACTCACACTGACCAACCAACTTGTAAATATAAATTATTTTATCTAAAGAAAATTAAACATGAAACTTTGCCATGGCAAAGGAAATACAATGGTCAGGGTGGCTGAAAGAACAGATAAGTATGGAACATAAAGGAGCAACCTAAATATAGTCAAATTTTGTTAAGGATGGCAAAGGGCCTTAGAATGCTCATATGCATTAACTTTATGTAGAAAATACTATATTTGCCAGGCTCAGAGGCTTATGCCTATAATTCCAACACTTTGGGAGGCAAAGGTGGGAGGATCGCTTGAAGCCCAGAGTTTGAGACCTACTTAGGCAACATAGTAAGAACCTGTCTCTCCAAAAATTTTTTGTAAAAAATCAGCTGAGCATGGTAACCTATACCTGTAGTCCCAGCTACACAGGAGGCTGAGGCAGGAGGATTACTTGAGCCCAGGAGTTCAAGACTGCAGTGAGCCATGATTGCACCACTGCACTCCAGCCTGGGTAGAAGAGACTATCTCTCAAAAAGAAAGAAAAGAAAAATCATGTCCTAAATCATGTTTGGAGGTTTGATAAAATCAACTTGGGAAAAAAGTAGACCAATTTCTGATGATCTGCCCAGGCCAGCAGAGGTCATCAGGAGCTACCTAACATCATCTGTTTCATGTCCTTGAAGCTATCTTAAAATGATTCTCTAAAAAGCTACTGCCAGAAAATAGTCTTCTGCCTCCCACATAAAAACAGAGGTAGTTTCATAAACCACAAAAAGGGAACCAGCGAAAACACTTCTGTACACAGCTTCTCTACAAGTCAGCATGCCTGCTTTTATCCGATATCACACACAATGTGCGCCTGACACTCTCTGCTATAAACTGTATCTATTCTCCAACTCCAAAGACAGTGCAGCAGGGTTTTTTTTTTTTTTTCCTTTTTTTTTTTGTTCCATGGGGTCGTCTTTATCCCCAAACCACATCTGTCTTGAGTTTCTCTCAGATTAGTCAGGTGG